CCTCTCTTTGATCTCCGCTGCAATGCTGCGCGAGTTATGCGCGAGGTCTGCGGCATCGAACAGGCTCGACGAGCCCAAGTGACGGGCGGAGTGACGACGTGGGGCGGGTTTAGCGATAGACTTGGGGTAAGACACTCGGAGGGACTGAGCGGTGGTGGAGATCAGATCCCGGCAACGGCAGGGCCTTGTGGCTATGGTTGTCGGTGGTTCTAACAGACTGGGGGCTGGGCCCAGGGCGGCCAGACGTGTGAGAAATTTTGCATACTAAGGAACTCGCTTTTATCTCAATTGCTGCTTTGTCCCAGTCTGATGTGTGCAAGGTCCCGATGCATGGGTATTCTGTTGTATGCCTGTTGTGGTACGAGAGTCTATGGATGTTGAATGTCTCCTTGTCCAAGAAGGGCTGGATGAATATGTGTGTGTGTGTGTGTGTGTGTGTGTGTGTGTGTGTGTGCACGCTTACAGGAGCATTGGTGGGGATTGTTGGGTGTCGACCGTCTGCATGGATGCATGAGTGTGTTGGTCCCTCCTCCCTTCCCCCAATCCCGTTTTCGCTCTTAACGCCGAGTGTATACGCGGGACTAGCGCCAACCTCTTCCCTCTCTCTCTCTCTCTCTCTCTCTCTCTCTCTCTCTCTCTCTCTCTCTCTCTCTCTCTCTCTCTCTCTCTCTTAGGGTGTGGCTCGGGATCCGGGTGAAGTAGGTGGGCATCGCCCCACAACTTACACTCGATAATCGGAGAGATCAGTTGCTTGCACCTCCGCGACGCGGTTGATATCTTTGCGACTCAATAGAACCTTGGATCCCTGACTCAGCATTCAGGCTGACACAGAGAGAAAGAGGGAGAGAGCAAGGCGGGGTTTTATTGATCTTTGTATGGAGCCAGCGCTCGTCCTTGCAGACGCGAGCGCGGGCCCTTGCCCGTGCTCCACCTTTATATTGGTCTTTCGCAACGTGCTGCCGTCCTTCCTGATCGCAGACGATGATAGTGTGTATTGTGACGCGAACGTGCGGAGCGCTCTGCAACGAACTGAGCAGATCCGTCTGCATAACCCCGCCAGGGCCTGCCACATAGGAGGGAGTGGGTTTGTGTTGATTGATCGGTTCTCTTCCCCTCCCCCGATACTGCCCTACACCGATCTCATGGTGTTGCCCTGGTTCGCGGCACACACAACGTGGCAGCCTTGGTTTAGTTGTCGTTGGTGTCGTCAGGGGGATTCGTGTTCCTGACAGAGACTGGTCCTGGGATACGAAGGTGCGGTTCGGTTCCCATAACTCCCCCGCAACGAGGGTGCGCTCCCGGCTAGCTCTCGAACTTGGGTTCCCTCGACCCACCCCGCCATCGGCGACCCCACACCAAGATGTTCGCGCGGGCTCAACGGATCTCACATCGAGGCCTGAAACATCCGAACCGACTGCCCCAAGATTCGCGTGAACCAGGCGCCACAGGGAATGCAAAACTCTGCTCCCCGTCATTTTCTTCCTCTTTCTTTCTTTCCCTTTTTTATTGTTTCCCCTTTTCATTGATGGTTGCTCCGGAATGAGCTTTCTCTCCGCCCATTGCTCTTGACGACGGCGAACCCCCAAAAGGCAACTCTCGGCTCGAAACAAGAATCCCCGTTTCATCCGGGCAATTCAACCTTACTGGCCAAAAATCCTCGGCCATAACCCCAACTACTCTGAGCGACGTTCGAAGTAGGGAACTCCGCGCGGGGTGTGAGGTTGGCGCATCACAGTAGGACCTCCTGCTAAATAGGGATTGAGATGCACATTGTATCCTAAGGTGCTTGCCTACATAACAACATAAGAAAAGTGACAGCCCACATATGTTCCATGGCTGTTGTGAAGAGAGTTGGACTCAAATTGTGAGGAGTGTCATGCTTCTCTCCACAATTTGTACCCTCGCACAGTGTCTTGTGGTTTCTGCTATCCTTACCTTCAAGTCACCAAGAGTCCTAGGCAGTCCTAGTCTGCTTTATCATTGCATTCACGTGGTGAGACAGAGAGTACTTGGGTCATGATACGGTCCAACGTAGGGGAAAGCGGTCGTGGGCAACAGTGACGAAAGAGGAGGACGAAGAAGGAGGGGTGAATATGGGAATGTTGTCAACACCAAATCTTCGTTACAAGTCCCAGATAACCCCTCGTCAACTGTTTGAAGTCCAATGTCGAGTATGGATCCAAATGTCACCAAGCTCTCTCTTTCTCTCTCGTAGTCTGCTGATGCAGTGAAGTCAGAAAGTGAGAGGTTGAAAGGGAGATGGTGGACTGAGAAGAGGAAGAAGAAGAACTTTCTCTCTCTCTCATATGCCAGGTACTAACCTGTGAAGATGGCGTTGTGCTGCAGGTACCTCAAAGACGAAGCTGGAGCGATGGCGCTGCAGGTAAGTCCTCCTGGCCTTCGCCCAATCTCTCTCTCTCCAGTACTACTCTAGCTCCTATGGCGCCCAGCGCTGAAGACTACTGCTAACGCTACTAGCACCCAGAGGTGAAGACTACTGCTAGCGCTACTACTACTCCTGCAGGCCTCCTCCAGAGTGCTGCTGCCGAATCCTGAAGACTACCTTCTGCCTCCTGAACTGCACGTGAACTGCCTGGGAAGTACCTAGGAACTACCTGCAGCCTGCAGGGCGGGCCAGTCTTATATAGTGTTGGCCCGTCCAGGAGGTTGCTCTTGCCAATGCCAAAACGTGCGAGACCCTGGGGTTGAAGCTCAAACAAAAGTTGTCTTGAAAATAGGCCAAAAATGGCCTGAGCTAAAACCCTGGTCTGGTGCCTCAGTTTCAGGGCAGGTCGGTCTTATGAGGGCCTGAAAATGGCCCTCAATTTCAGGCTGAAGACACTTAGTGTCGGAAAGGCCCTGATTTAGCCTGAAACGACACAAGGCCTGTAGACCCTTGTTTTCAGGCTTCTAGGCTGAAACGACACGGGGTCTGTAGGCCCTCATTTTCAGACTTTTGGCCTGGAAACGTCACGGGCCTTAAAGGAGGCCCGTGCGGCCTGTTGCAGGCGCAACATGTAACACCCCCCCCCTCTTTATGCAGTCAAGCCGGGGCGAGGGCGAAGTTGACGATCTGAAGGTGGAACATGGATGCGGGTGCGACGTGGAGCCAAGATACCGGCTTGCCTTGCATCTTGTGTTCGTAGCGTGCTAGAACATCCAAAGCTGTTGCTTGCAGTTCCGCACGGGTTAACCAACGGTCAACTTTGTGAGTGCAGTACGCAAAGTGTACCAAGTACTCGGTTGGCCTGTTGCCGTAGCGTCGTTGGGAGATGATGTCGCCAACCTCTTGAAAACCATCCATAGAGGGTCGGTCTTGAGGTCGTCGACTGGGAAAATCGTCATGTTCCACTGGCATGTAAAGAGCCAACTTGGAGCAATGAAAGACCGGGTAGACGGGCAAGTGGGGGGGCACCTGAATGGTGAAAGAAGGTCCTTCGAGTGCATCCCCAGCGGGTGCCACGATCGGCCAAGGCCCCATCCATTTCGGGAGGAGCTTGTGAGAGATGTCTTGTTCAAGGCTGAATTCCGCGGCGGAAACCCAAACGAGATCGCCAGTGCGGAATGGGCAAGGAAGACGCTGGCGATTGGCCTGTTTGCTCATGCGTTGTTGCGTCTTGGCCATCTGGTCGCGTGCCTTGACAAGTAGCTCTTGCATCCAACGCAAGAAAAAAAAATGGTCGTCGCTCTCGGCCGTTCGTGGAATGATTGTGTCCAACGGTAAAGTCACCGGCGAGCCGTGCTCGAACTCTAAGGGCGACATCCCGATAGCCGGGTGGATGGACGAGTTTTATGCCAACTCGACATCCGGCAGCCGCTCAACCCAATCCTTTTGGTCGGGACAGATAAGAGTGCGAAGGAGAACTTATGTGGTCTGATGCGCCCTCTCCGTTTGGCTATCGGTTTGGGGGTGGTGAGCCGAACTTGGCTTGAGAGATGAGCCCCATCGTTTGATGAGCGCCAACCAAAAATCGGACATGAACCGAGTGTCCCGGTAGAAGAGGAATTCCTTGGGATTACTCTTGGTTCGAATCCAACTGGCGTAAAGAACCTCGGCCAACTTCGGTGCCTTGGCATGATAGCGGCAAGGCAAAAACATGGCGAACTTGGTAAGTCGGTCGACCACCGTGAGAATCCCATCCACTTCGGTCTTGTGCTTGGGGAACGCGCCAATAATGTCCATGGCAATCACTTCCCTTCGCCACAAAGGGACCGGTAATGGTCGCAACTCGCCGTACGGACAATGGTTGCGGGATTTGCAGCGTCGGCAAACCTCGCATGACTCACAATAGCGTGTGACGTCGCCGAGAAGGCCGGACCACCAAAATTGCTCGCGAAGTCGGCCAATCGTGCGATTGACTCCAAAGTGTCCGGTGGCAGGAGCATCGTGGAACCCGCCAAGAAGCCATGTATGCAAGTGAGGGTCACTCGGTACGCAAAAAAGGTCTTTCCCCCGTGTGTGGAGTCTGTGGACAAGCAAGTACCCCTCTTGGATCCGGTAGTGAGAAGGCGTCGGATTAAGAGAGGAGCAATTCGCGTACTTGTCGCAAAACTCGGGGTCGGCTTGGTAGCCGCGGATGAAGTTGTCCCACAGGTCGTCGCCGATCTCGAAGGTCAAGTAGACTGCGGTACAATGATCCGGACGCCGTGAAAGAGCATCCGCAAAACGGTTCGACTTCCAAGGAATGTGATCGGGAAAGAAGTCGAAATGGTCGATGAAAGCCATCCAACGGGCGATGGTGCTATTGACGGTGTCTTGGGTCTTGTAGAAGACCAACGGATTGTTGTCCGTCAACCACCGGAATCGACTTCGACCAAGGAGGAAGTGTCGCCACCGCTTGAGCGTGTCGACGAAGGCGAGGAACTCCTTCTTGCGTGCATCATCAATGAAGTGCACAATGGGCACTTTCTTGCTGAAGTACTCGACCGGTTGCCAGTCCACGCCATCGTGTTGCTCGAGGACGGCACCAATGCCATAGCCGGACGCATCCGTAGTGACACACGTTGGCAATAGCGGGTCGTATATGCGCAAAACCTCATTCCCGCGCATCCTCCCGGAAGTCAAACAGTTGATCCTCATATTGAAGCTTGGACAAGGGGGCTGCAATCTTCGAGTATCCCTTGATAAAACGTTGGTAGTAACCGGCAAGGCCAAGGAACGAACGAACATCCGTGACGTTCCGCGGCTCTAGCCACTCTTGGATACCTTGAATTTTGTCCGAAAACGGACTGATGCGCTCCCGTGTGACAAAATGGCCCAAGTGTTTCAGCTCTTGCCGGACAAATTCGCACTTGTCGCGGTTGGCCTTGTACTTGGCGCGGCGGAGCGTCTCCAACACTCGTCGAAGATGCCCAAGATGATCCTCCAATGCCCGACTATAGACGAGAATATCATCTAAGTAGACCAGCACGAGCCGGTCCAACATTGTGCGAAACTCATTGGTCATTGCCGCTTGAAAGGTCGTTGGGGCGTTGGTGAGGCCAAAAGGCATGACCACCCACTCAAAATGCCCATACCACGTCTTGAACACAGATTTGTAGCGATCGTTCAGTCGGATCGAGATTTGATAATATCCCGACTTAAAATCCAACTTAGAAAAATACTTTGCGTTGCCCAATCGCTCAAGAAAATCGTCGATACGAGGAAGAGGCCCCACATTCTTGACGGTTTGCGCGTTGAGCTTACGGTAGTCGATGCACAATCGTAGATCCTTGTTCTTCTTCCGTACGAAGAGAACTGGCGCTCCGTATGGAGAGCTACTAGGGCAGATCCAGTCGTTGTCCAACAAGTCATCGAGTTGCGAGCGGAGGACTGTAAACACCTCCTCGCTCATGCGATAAATGCAACCTTTCGGCGGCACGACACCGGCCTCAAGAATGATCTCGTGAGAGATCGGCTGATCCGGCACCACACCAGAAGGTGACTCGAAGATGTCGACGAACTCGTCAAGCAACCGCACCACACGGGGGTCCGAAGACAAGTTCGTGGGTGAAGAGTCGGCTACCTTGACGGTCCGTAGGAAACATAGGTCGATTTCGTCGGGCTGCTCGTCTTCACAAGTAGTCCGGAATGATTTGGTCGTCACCAACTGGCACCGAATCAAAGGGTGCGGAAGAGGAATAGTACACGGTACTTCGGCGCTGAAAGCGTCGCGAACAGTAAGAGTCCGCCGGTGGAAGTTGACCATGTGATCCGCACTTGCAAGCCAAGGCATTCCCAAAATAATGTTGAAGTCTGTGTCCAAAATGTCGAACGCCACCGGTTCGTCTGCATGAGGTGTGAAATACACCAGTACGGCCTCGATGTAGCGGTCGATAAGTTGTTGCGTCCTTCCGTCTGCCAACTTGATCGCTGTCAGGTTTTCCTTCCTCCGAACTTGTGCTCCAAGGCCAGCCCTTTGCATAAAGGCTTGGCTCATAAAATTGCGAGATGCATCGCTATCCAACAAAGCAATGCAGGACGTTTGCCCAACTTGGATGCGGACATAGAGGAGCGGCGTGTTGTTGTCGTACCGCTGAGTGCGAAACTCGTGGGCCACCTTGGTAACATACGCAAGGATGTCCCCCACCGCGACTTCGTCATCCGTTGGCGAAGTTGGTGGTGCATAGAAGGATAAGTACGTGTGAAGATGAGCGCATAATGTTGCGCATTGAGGTCCCGACAAGTGGCCCGTGGACGGGAGAGAAAGCCATGCGAAATCCTTGGACGTGAGCGGGTCCAATACCTCTATGTTGAACTCGCGCCCCGAAACCCGTGAAGAACCACTTGAAGACGATAAATTACCGTTGTCGGACGGAGAAGATGCCGCACACACGTCTTGTCCTTGAGCATGAGTACCCAGCGTAGGAACGAGTCGGGCAGCATAATCCTGAAAAGAATAGAGAAGAGGAGGACAATCGACTTCCGCATGTGCCTCGGAACGAAGGGCGGTCACCCGCGACGTGAACGGTTCCAAAGGCGTCAAGAGTGTCTTCGACTTACTCTCGACAGTGCTCAGTTTCCCGATTTGCCTTTGCCTTTCGACGGGCAACCCATTGTCTCGTGGAGATCGCTGTTACACCATAGACAATAACGGAATATTGTGCGTACCTTGTATGCCGTTTCAGAGAGACCGTAGAGGGACCATGGGGTTGGAGCTGCTATGACGAGTCTGGGGCTAGATGCGGTGTTTGTCTTCGCCTTGCCGCGTCCTCGGCCTTTGCCGAGGCGGCCACCTTCACGGGCGGCTGCGAGTCTGTCCCCTTCATTGGCAGACACGGCCCCACTAGTTTGGTCGATTGGCGTTGCCACCGCGACCACGACCACTTTCGGTCGATGATGATCTCTGCTCAGGCCTGTCGCAGACGAACGGTGAAGGTTCTTAGCCTCCTTGTTCGTGACAATAATCTGCGCGGCTTTGTCGAAGAGCTCCGCCGGTGTCGTCAGGGTGTCCTCGATGTGAGCCAACGCATTGCCCAACGCCGGACACGACCTCGAGATGAAGTAGTGTTTGATGGCTTTGAAGCCCATTTGAATGTTTGGGACGGATGTCAAGCGTTGGTACTCGACAATCAAGTCAACACTCGGCAGAGTGCCTTGTTCGAAGACCATCAGCTTGTGCATTGCCTTGATCTTCGGCGGGTCTACTTGGAACTGCTTATGCCACGCCGCCTTTAGATCATCCCAGCTGATCGTGGTATGCAAGTCGACAGCCACCACTCCGTACTTGGACAGGAGATTGTCCAGCCATGCTTGGCACGCGCCCCCCGAGCGGGAGTATAAGTACGTGTGATGCTTGTGCTCGCTGACGTAGTGTAGCTGCAACTTGAGTCCGAACTTGTGGAACCAGAGAATCGGGTCCGTCTTCGTCGAATCGCAGAAGATCTTCTGATCATCGAACTTTGGAGTTGTCTCGCGCGGTCCCGAGCTCGAGTGGGTGGCAGCAATACAGATCCGCTGCTCCAACTGTTGCGTTGCGGTTTGCTGTAACTGCACGCCATCCTTGAGGGATCCGACATCAATCTCCAATGCCTCGAGGCTATCGGAGGTGTTGGAAGAGCTGGCATCGGGGGCGACGACGGGTCGCTGCTCCAGCTGCCGGAGGCGGCTGTAAACTTGAGCCAACGCGTCGTCGAGGCTGTGGATATCCTCCTGCTGTGTAATGCATGTTGCCAGGAGGTCCATGAGATGGGAGAGGAGTAGAGCGGCCTTGTTTTCACTCTCTTCCATCTTGCCATTCTCGGCCTCGGCCCGCCAGTCCGCTGCCATTGTGAGTAAAGCTCGCTCTCCGCTGAATATCTTCTCGCATCGTTGAATTCGTTCTTCATCGGCAGCCTTTGCTGTTGCCTCGTCGTGTTGGCACTACTGTTCGATTGCCAACAGACGCGTCGTCTCGGCGTCCTCTGCCTTCTTCTTTGTTGCGGCTGCTACTACATCTGACCGTTGCTTGGCTTCGGTAATCAGAAGCAGCATCCGGGTCTGATAGGCCTCGTCCGTTTCCCCGGACTTCTGGTCCATGACGGCTGTTTGCGAGCACGTGAGCCTAGACCAGGCTGGGGGTCTACTGACGTGGCACTGCCTGCTGCTGAAGTGGCCTGCTGACGTGGCAACTCACCAATGCCGCCGCAGGGGGTACCCGGAGACAGATAGAGAAGATAAGACTAGAGGGGGCAACAACATAGGTGGGGAGGGTGGGTGGGAAAAATCGTCCAGATAAGGAGCCACTAATCAGAAAAGAAAAGTTTGAACTTTGCAAAAAAAGTTGAAAAAAGAAAAAATACTCGTTTGCAAGTTCAATGGGTCTCCCAAATCCCCCTGAAGTGCAAAATTACCAATGAGAAAAACATTTGAACTTCCAGACTGCAAATGATTAACCGATGAGAATTTCGAAAAATAAAAGGAAGAAAAAAAATATTCGGAATTACTCAGATGAGAGTACGCGCAGTTGGAGAATGATAACTGCAGAAGGGATTTCCCGCACCGTTTTAAAAAAAAAACGAATTTCGGAAAAAAAAAAATATTCCGGTTTTTCCAACTAATAACTTGCAGCAGGAAATCGAACTTTTCGAAAAGAAAGATATTTCGGATTTTCAACAATGAAATTTTTAATTTTCAGAAGAAAAACAGAAATGGAAATTTCAGATGTTGCGCTATTGCGATTTTCCACAACAGAAATAGCGAAAAAAAACCAAAAAAAAATAAATCGATTTTCGGCAGTGAGGTCAAAATCGTGATTTTGGGGGCTAACTAGTGTGCTCTAATCAATCAGTCAAGACTAATCAGCTACCTAGTCCCCGCACACGTGTCAGATCAGGTTGTCCTGATTCACGTGCGGTGCTCCGATACCAACTGTTACATGCCCAGTTGGGCGATGTACATATAAACCGAGGATCCGCAATGTGATAAAAAGGACTGAAATGGACAATGCAGTGCAAGTAGAATCTCAACAAGCAGTGTACATTCAGATACATCCAAAAACGGTGCCTTGTAGCGCAGGGAAGACTTAGATACAAGTCCTGACATGACCGGGACTGACCTCTATCACGTAGTACAAGATAACGTAGCAGAATGCTAGAATATCAATGACTAGCCCAATCAATGTTGCAACGCAGACCAAACATGCATCATTCTCATCACAAGGTGTGAAGGGAGCCTGGCGCTATACACAGGAAGAAGGCACCAGGTCCAGATTATGCACATACGAAAGAGGAGGGAAACAGACGAAGAAGGAGGGGTGAAGATGGGAATGTTGTCAACACCAAATCTTCGTTACAAGTCCCAGATAACCCCTCGTCAACTGTCTGAAGTCCAATGTCGAGTCTAGATCCAAATGTCACCAAGCTCTCTCTTTCTCTCTTGTAGTCTGCTGATGCAGTGAAGTCAGATAGTGAGAGGTTGAGAAGGGGATGGCAGACTGAGAAGAGGGAGAAGAAGAACTCTCTCTCTCTCATATGCCAGGTACTAACCTGTGAAGATGGCGTTGTGTTGCAGGTACCTCGAAGACGAAGCTGGACCGATGGCGCTGCAAGTAAGCCCTCATGGCCTCCACCCAATCTCTCTCTCTTTAGTACTACTCTAGCTCCTACGGCGCCCAGCGCTGAAGACTACTGCTAACTCTACTAGCGCCCAGCGGTGAAGACTACTGCTAGCGCTACTACTACTCCTGCAGGCCTCCTCCAGAGTGCTGCTGCCGAATCCTGAAGACTACCTCCTGCCTCCTGAACTGCACGTGAAGTGTCTGGGAAGTACCTAGGAACTACCTGCAGCCTGCAGGGCGGGCCAGTCTTATATAGTGCTGGTCCGTCCAGGAGGTTGCTCTTGCCAATGCCAAAACGTGCCAGACCCTGGGGTTGAAGCTCAAACAAAGGTTGTCTTGAAAATAGGCCAAAAATGGCCTGAGCTAAAACCCTGGTGTGGTGCCTGAGTTTCAGGGCAGGTCGGTCTTATGAAGGCCTGAAAATGGCCCTCAGTTTCAGGCTGAAAACACTTAGGGCCGGAAAGGCCCTGATTTAGCCTGAAACGACACAGAGCCTGTAGGCCCTTGTTTTCAGGCTTCCAGGCTGAAACGAGACGGGGTCTGTAGGCCCTTGTTTTCAGGATTTTGGCCTGAAAACGTCACGGGCCTTAAAGGGGGGCCGTGCAGCCTGTTGCAGGCGCAGCATGTAACACCATCGTGACAACAGGGCCCCAATTTGATAAGGTGGATCAAGAATTGAGTCCCAAATTGAGGGGTCAAGTAGAGAGACGGCTCTTTGGTACCACAAGGTCGAAAAGATGGAGTTGTTGATGACCAAGGAGCATTCAAATAGCTAACTGGAATTGCGTCCAGAGCTTTTGTGGAAAGCTCGTCCTAGAGCATGAAGCTATGTACTGCTTTCTTCGATCAGTCCTATCCGTAAGCAAGTTTATTGGCTATCGCTTTCCTCTTTCCTCTCCCTTTTTTTTTTTCTTTTTTTTCTTTCTTTGTAGTGTTGGTAAAAGCAGTAGCTCCACCCAAGAGCCTAACCTAGTGGGTACACCCATGAAATGTTGAAATACAGACCTGTGTTCGAATCCAGATGATGGAACTTGACGAGTAAAACCAACTAATGAAATGTCTTGGGCAGGTCAGCTCAATGATAATATCTGAAGGTCGTTGCCTTTTTTTTTTTTTTTTTTTTTTTTTTTTTTTTTTTTAAGCAGTAGCTCCGTCACAATTTTGCAATGCTCACTTACAAAAACAAAAAGAAAAGACCAAGGGGGACAGGGTTCTATAAATTCAACTCCTCTCTGCTGCCCCTGCAACGGTTTAAAGACATGATCGATGAATTTTGGAAATACTGGCAAACCCGAAAACCGTCGTTAGGGGACAGGATGGATTGGTTCAATGAAGGGCATTGAAGGCATGGCGCAACTCAGGAACAGGGCAAAGAAATTCTCCACACAACATGCGAGAGATCGCAGGGCTGTTCTTGATAGCCTGATGCATCAACTTGAGAGCTAGGATGAACAACTTATGGAGGATCCGCTGCACCACCCGACCTTTGAAAGCATGCAGCAAGCCCGGGACCACCTCCAAGCCTACATAGAACAACAAGCCCACGCCTGGAGAATCCAAGCCAGAATCAAAAAGGAACACACGGATGGTACAATGGTCAGGACCTTCTTCAACAAAGCAAAGGCCAGGGCTAGAGCAATGACAGTTTCGAGGTTGAAACACCCGTCGGATGAAAACGCCCCGATGGCCTCCAATGCCTACTCCATAATGGACTATGCTTCCCAGTATTACCGAAATCTCTTCACATCGCAAACTCCCCAAAAGCACCCAGACGAGGTCTTACAGGCAAGGGAATCACTGTTGCAGACCATCCACTCGCGCCTCACCCCTGCACAAAAAGGGGAGCTAGACAAGGATTTGTCTCTCCATGAGATGTGGGAGGCCCTGAGGGAATGGAAGATGAAAAAACCCCTGGCATAGACTCTTTCCCCAAAGAATTCTGGGTGGAATTTTGGGACCTCTTTTGCGACGATCTGATGGAGTACGTGATAGCCGTGCAGAAGTAAGGATCGTTCGGGGGCATGATAGGGCAAGGAGTCACCACACTCCTTTACAAAAAAGGGGACAAGGAGAATATCAGAAACTATAGGTCGATTACTCTCCTCCCGGTCCCATATAAGCTGGTATCCAAGGCCCTCACTAACCCATTACTACCCATGATGAACATGTTGATTCATCCAGATTAATCGGGGTTTATGCCCAATCGGAACATCCAAGATAACATTCTCCTCGTCAACGAGACCATTAAATACACCTGTCAACGCAGGGTCCGAGCGACGATCTTGTTTATCGACTTTGAGAAGGCGTACGATCACGTTGACTGGGATTTCCTGGATATGTGCCTGAATAAAATGAATTTTGGCCTTCTGTCGTTGGGTGCAGCTCCTCCACAGGGCGGCGTCCACAAACATTATGCTGAATGGACAACTGTCTCCACCGATCCACCTCCAAAGATCGGTAAGACAAGGGGATCCCATAGCACCATTACTCTTCGTAATCGTTATGGAGGCCCTCGCTTCACTTATCCGAGCACATCCTCACATCAGCAAAGTACCGATCCCAGAACTTCCTGAGCATCTCATCCCGGTCACATCATTGTTTGCAGACAACCTGACTCTGCTCATTAGGGCTGATGTGACCAGCCTGAGTGTCGTTACTCATGTAATACACGTCTTTTCGTTGGCTGCAGATATGAAAGTTAATTGGGGGTCCAAAACACAAGGATGGTGGCTACATCCCCAAGGACAGCCACCCCCCCCCGAACCAAATGTCGCATCGGCAGCTCGGGAAGAAGCAATACGAATACTGGGCGTGAGACTGACAGCCCTGGGGCCTCCGTCAGATCACGGTGATGCGCTGGTTAACATGACAATTGATCGCTTGGCCAAATGGGACGGACTGCACACATCCATAGTGGGCCACGCGCTGGCAATCAACAATGCTGTGTTGGCGGCTATCTGGTACAAACTGGTGGTACGGTCGCTCAAACCTCCACAATACACTAGATTGAAAAGGGCACTAACGACCTACCTCTAGAAAAATAGTGCGGACTCCCATAACTGTATGAGCAGAGTCAGTTGGGACATCCTCACCCAGCCAAGAGTCGTAGGGGGGCTTGGGATACTGGACCCGGAGAGGGAAAGCGAAGCCTTGATCTTCAAGATTCTGGTTAGGCTTCTCATAGGCAATGATATCCCTTGGGCCCCCTTGGCCTGCCTGCAAATAGCTAATATGGCCCCGCAGACGATGGCATCGGCCCGGGTGCACCCGTTCAGATGGCTCACCAACTCCCACTGGTCGATACCCGCCCCTCCACATTAGCC